TGAATTAATTAAAGAGAGAAGAAATAAAATAAAACTCTAACATTTGGTGCAATAAAGATTTCAGTTTTACAGTTTATTATTTTTAAATATTTCTCCAATTGTCAAACCTAACAATAAAGGTTTTAGAATTTATATTTCCTGTGCTGGTCTTCTTTTAGAAACGTCTCTATAGGAAGCAGCACACACACACACACACACACACACACACACACACACACACACACACACACACACACACACACACACACACACACACACACACACACACACACACTCTCTCTCTCTCTAAGCATCCATCAGTCGCTCCACATGAGATCACTTACTAAAAGCTGCAAATCTAATAACACTTCCATCAAGCTGCTTTCAGCCCCACCCCCCCCTCACCCTTCCTCTCATAAATTCAAATTTAAAAAAGCTTTATTGGTATGACCATATTAAACACAGTGTTGCCAAAGAAGCCGGTACAGAAAGCCTTAAAGAGGCCCTGTCCTCCTCAAGGAGTCTCTGAACACGTAAACAGAATATGAAATTAAATAATGTAAATTAAGACTAAATTAAATACGGTTTATTGCGGTGATAACTATTTGTATAAATAAGTAGTATAGATTGCAAGATGACAAACAGGAATGTTTATCGAGGCACTTCACAGAGCTCAGGTGTTTAGCGGTCTTATGGCCTGTGGGATCAAACTGCAGTTCTGTAGGTGTTAGTGCATGTCAATGGTCTGCAGAGGCTGAAATCCCCCCCCCCCCCCACCCCCCCCTTACCTGTGCCAGGTTGTCTGTAGATCTGCAGAGTTGCAGGAGTCGGTCTCCTGCGACGGATCTGAGGTAACACACACACACACACACACACACACACACACACACACACACACACACACACACACACACACACACACACACACACACATTACATGTCACTTGTTAGTCACTTTTATCCAAAGCGACTTACATACTCTACACTGTGGACAACCCCCACAGGAGCACTTTGGGGTGAAGTGTCTCAGGGACACAACGACATGCTGACTGCAGTGGGGTTTGAACCCTGATCTGAACACCTACACACAACCCACTGCGCCACACACCTCCAACTTTTTTAAATGTGCATGTTTCCTGCATTTCTCTGTTTTATATGGAGAATGTATTATTTTGACCGACTAACAAGACCTTTTGGATCACCGTGGGATTTAAATCAACGACAGATGGATATTTTCCTTTATTTTCTGACATGATTTAGACCAAATGATTAATAGATAAGCTGCTTAAAGAGCTGGTTTTATTTTTATTTCAGTCTTTATTTGGTTTCCTTACATCCATTAACAGATATTTAACGACTTACTTTGACTCTGATGTTTTTCTTAGTTTTATAAAGTGTTATTATGAGACGTCCCAGTTTTAATGCCAGCTCACAGTGTGAAGAACAGTCACTTCAATTCCCCACAAAGCCTCTCCTGTGTGGAACCTTCATGAAGAGTCGGTCTAGATTTAGAGTATTTCCTTAGTTTCCTTAATGAGATATATTTTAAATACTTCCTGCAGGGCGTATGTGAATGCTGTCTGCTGATTGGTCGGTGTTGTTGTGAATAAATGAATATAAAGTCCTGCAGAGCGACAGATGATGATCACATCTGATCTGTATGTTCCTGTAGTTCCAGCATGTGAGCAGAACAGAAGCCGCTCTGTTTAAACCTGACGTCACTGAGTTTAAACGTTTCTCTCTCTGACGTCTTTACGGGATGTTAGTGAAGGAAACAGGAAGTATATCATTACTCAGGAAGCTGCTAACGAACACAGATTACAAACCCTCAGATAAATATCAGAGACGGTTTTATGAGAAACGACGACTTTACTGCAGGTTTATTCAGGCATTAAAGGGTTAAATCTGGTTTGTATATTCATTCCTTCTTTGTGTTTAAGGCGGCACAAACAGTACTGTGAATCACTGAGAGTACAGACGAGGTTCTGTGTGACAACATGTCAGCTTTAAGTGGAAATTAAGCATTTGCATCGTCCATGGAGGAGCTTTTCTCTATCAAACATCCTCATGTGTTGGATTGTATTTTATAGACTGATTTGAAATAAACGCTCTCCAACTCTTCCATCAGGAGGAACGAGCTGCAGCTTCAGAGAGGATGCAGATATAAAACCCCAATGTTCCACATGAAGAAACCTCTCCAGCAACAACTCATGCAGCTTTTAGAGAACATTCAGCAACTTGAGGAGACATGGCAGCGTTTACTAAAAGCTGCAGAAACCAAACGCTGCAAATACAAAGACAAGAATGTGTCATTAGAAGATTAAATAAGATATATAAATATATGAAAATGATTTAAAAGGATCGATCGAGTTAAAAATATATATCTTTGAAGATGAGAGGAAGTAAAATCATTTCTTAGACAAAACTAAAGTGGTCCGAGGAAAGATCCCTGTGGGACGCCAAATGTAATTTAATATGATTAATCTATCTTAGTTGGGTTAATTGTTTCTGCAGCGTTTACTAAAAGCTGCAGAAACCAAACACTGCTTACTTCAGGACAAGTAGTCATAATTATAATAATAATATATTTAAAGTGGACCTATCATGCTATATTTGAATAATATAGTGTAGGACCATACCTATATAAGGCATATTTATACTTTTATTTTTTCAAAATACCAAACAGATCATGCATTTTAGCCATGCCTCATTTCGCTCAATTTGACAATTTTTAGATCTGTTTTAGCAAGGGCAGATTCAGTGAGAACAGCACCACCTACAGGCCTGGCATATGTACTACAGCGTCTCCAGCGCTTTCGAACGGCAATGGCCGTGGCTGTCTCCTCCTGATTGGTGGAGTTGGCCCAATAGCCGTAGCGCCACCGTCCTGACGTCAGGACAGTGTTCAAATCTGGATCAGTTTTTATCAGATCCGTTGCAGCCCCTTTTTTAGAGATTTGGGTATGGAGGAAAATAGAGAGGGTTGTGTTTTCTGACACTTGGTGAGTTCCCTGGAACACCGGGGACACATATTCATGTAGAAAAGACGTACAAAAGTGCATTTTGCATGATAGGTCCCCTTTAATGTATATAGTTTATTTATATAGCTCCTTTCAAGGGACCCACGGCTTTACAAGTTACACGTTAAGGACAGACAAACAAACAAAGTCAGGCAAATAATAAAGTAAATAGCAGTAGGAGTGGACTGTGAAGGGTTAGGGGTCAAAGGTCATGCTGAACAGGTGGAAGCACTCTAACCCTACTCTAGTAAATCTTTTTCACATTTCAACATTTTTAACCAGGTTTCTGGAGACACGTATGATGAGCTTTAGTTATATGTTAGTCTTCTATTACGTATAGTATATCATATGTGAAATCGGACACATATTAAGTGCATGGGCTTCATTCATTACTCTAATTTTACTTTGAAATCAACAATTCTAACAGTATTTTTAACATCTTGACTGTAGAAAATCCTGTTTCTGCTGAAAGGTTTTATTCTGTAAACTCATCAGCAAATATCCATAACTTTATAAGAACAATGCCATTGATTTAAGGGTGTTTTCGTGCATGTAACAGTGTGGTACTTTCCCATTAATATTACCTAAATACAACATGATTTCACAGTAAAATGAATAGTTTTCCACCAAATATGACAGTAAAAAAGTCCTGTAATGCTCCTGGATTAAAGTTATTCAATGTTCCATTACAATGATATATATTATAGTGATTTAAAACCCTTTCGCTCTTAATTTACTATCATTTCTACTTTTTGTTTTACAACGTACACACTAACACAGTTTCCATGAGACTCTGCACCCACACACACAAAACTCCAGATAACAGATACAAGCCTCATTCAACCTCACACACACGCACACACACACACACACACACACACACACACACACACACACACACACACACACACACACACACACACACACACACACACACACACACACACACACACACACACACACACACACACACACACACACACACACACACACTCACATGTTCTGCAGCCTGGGGGTCCAGCTGGCTCTGCAGCGGAGGAACAGAAAACTGGATCTTCTTCGGACTGCTGGGCTCCATAACTGACTGAGAGGAGAAGATCTGGGAGAGAGAGAGGGAGAGAGAGAGAGGGGAGGAGAGAGAGGGAGAGGAGAGAGAGAGAGAGGGGAGAGAGACGGAGGGGAGGAGAGAGAGAGAGAGAGTGTGAGTGTGAGTGGGAGTGTGTGTGTGTGTGTGTGTGTGTGTGTGTGTGTGTGTGTGTGTGTGTGTGTGTGTGTGTGTGTGTGTGTGGGGGGGGGGGGGGGGGAGGGAGGGAGGGAGGGAGGGAGTGGTTTCTCTTAGCTGCTGGGCTCCATTATCACTAATTGACGGACAGAGAGAGAGTCGTCATTGTAGCATTCTGAATACACACACACACACACACACACACACACACACACACACACACACACACACACACAAACACACACACACACACACAAACACACACACACACACACACACACACACACACACACACACACACACCTCAGAGTTACGTCACTTTCCCTCTTTTTTTTTTAAACAGAATTCACTCTGTTTTCACGGTGTTCCCTCTCCTGTAGTTCTATAGATTTTATTGCATGTAAACGGTCTGCAGAGGCTAAAATCCCTGTGTTCCCTCCAACCCGGCAAGACGTGAATATGTGACGATCTACCATGCTGGGAGACGTGAAGATGTCACGATTTCGTCCCTTCAAACGTGACAGTTACACAGTATTGTTAACATGGCCCATCCAGTGGAGAAATACCCGGAAGTGCCAAGCAAATAGAGAGGCGCAGTCCCTCCCCTTCCGGTGGACCCATGGGACCTTATTTTGGAAAAAGTATGTATTGAAGTCAATGGAGAGAGAAAACGTTTCTCTCGATCCTGTTTGAATTGTGCCACGAATTACACATATGATGTTTGTCAATTTAAAAGATAATTTCCACGTAAAAAAAAGTCACAGTTTGTCGTAAAACTGTTGAAATATAAGACTCTGAAAAATACGCAACTAGAAAGACTACAAATCCCAGAGTCCCGGTCCCGCATGCTGGCTCTTAGGAACCGACTCACTCCCCTTGTGTGTATGTACAGCTCTCAACATGCCCAGACTTGGAGTGATTTTCACCTCTTTTAATACTTTCCGCCTCATTCTGAGAGAAAGAAGTGAAATGTGCCAACGTGACGGCCGTCTGGGTGTGTGGTGCGAGACGGGGGATGGAGTTCATTGAGCGGTTTCACACAAACAAATGTGTTACTTCACAGTTTTACGACATTCACATTTTTTTGACTTGCAAAATTATCTTTTAAATTGACAAACATCATATGTGTAATTCATGGCACAATTCAAACGGGATCGAAAGATAATCTTTCTCTCGCCATTGACTTACAATACATACTTTTCCCGAAATAAGGTCCCATGGAGGTCCCCCGGAAAGGGAGGGACTTCGCCTCTGTATGCTCTACCACGACGGTCGGTTGTTATTGTTAATATTAAATATTTTTAATTTATTTTTTAATAGTCACACTCGATTTCGCCGATTTCCTTGTTGCCCCAGCTGGTCGACACCTCTTTTAGCAGAAACAAAGGCTACCTTAATGTATTAAATCGATGTTAATCCATGTGTGTTGTGGAATTACCGGACGTGACGTTGTGCGATTGCGTTGCCAGGCAACAGCTGGCGTTCATGTTAATTTACAAACTCTTCAACTAGAACCCTAGTTATATTTAAAAACATTTTAAAAGGCCTCAGGAAATACTTTAATGTAAATTAAAATTAAAATTAAAATGTGAAGGAATGTGTGTATAACAAAATACATCCGTCATAAACAATACCGGAAACAGACGTAGGCAAGATCCTCAGCTATGGTTGAAGCTCGTGATTGGATGTTTTAGCCGCAATGCACGTTGGGATATGGTGTTTATGCGATATGAAATCCGAAAACATTTAAGAAAAAAAGAAAATAATACTTTATTCCGAGTGTGCTTGCTTTTCTCTTTGGAAGTCATCACATAACGGCATTGTAATACACGGTTCGGCTGCATTACATATTACACATCTGCCGTAGTTCTCTATTTATAGAGCCCTGATGAGAAGACTTCTGGACAAACTGGAAGAACTGCCACGGAAACTGAATACGTGACGTGGATCATAAATATATCAGCAATTAAACAACATCTTACATTTCTCTTCACACAATACGTCTCCTTGCAGTATCAATACTAATTCGGCTGACTTTTATATTTGATCCAATTGGTAGATAGGCTGTATTTACACCATAACGGTGCACAGCTGATAGAAAGGGACTTGTCGTTTTTAACTTGACAGTTTTTTTTTACCTGCACCGCCTCGTGGTTAAAGCACGTTAAGATACATTTTTTGTTGAATATGTTATATTTGATGAGAAAAATATTAAGAGTACATACTTTCATAGGGGGAAAGTAGAAGGTCAATGATAGAAATATAGAATATAAAAAATCAAGAAGATACTGTAAGTGATCTCTACAATCAAACAGTTTAGTGCCGGATGTACAAAGATATTAATATGAGGATGTGCAAAACAGACAAACTAATGAACCTTTATTTAAACATTAAAGAATACTTTAGGTTAAGGTCTTCTTTTAAATAAGAAAAAAGCTTTGGGGGTATCTACAGATAAATATTAAGCCTGACAAAGTACTTAACGTCTAATATATTGCTTTCCTGCAATGTTAACTATGTTGAAGCACTTATTTTAACTGATAGTATACATATTAATTATACTCTTATACGATGTATGTAGATAGTATAAGAAATGTGCAGAATATGTTTAATGGTGGAGGTACACACATATTGATAGATGTCTTGTAATGCACTGTTGAGGAACCTGCGACCCAAGTTTTTAATGCATTGCATAACTACACCGTAGTTGTGTATATGATATGTCACTGAACCTTAGAAAATCTTGAAATCTTGAAAGGGATGTGCAAAATAGCCATTATATACAGTTTTTAATGAACTATTAGTAGAGAATAACGAGTAATGAATATACTTTATAGATATCTGCAGATAAATGTTTAGTCTTCTCAAGCACCAACTATCAAATATCTCTCCTGATTGTTGGCACTTCACAATCACCTTCACTGAATTTTACTCAGGTGTAACTAAAGTCTGATTTAAGGGTTGTTTATATTTCATATCATTAATCAGAATGTGGTCTAGTTAATAAAAAAAATATTAACTTTATTGTGAAATAAATACACACAGCATACAATGCCATAATAACTTTGTATTATTAGTGTATGTATAACATCTTAAGATGTGTAGTTTTATTCATGTTTTCACATAATTCTACAGGATATTGCTATATTATTTCACATGTTTTACTTCAACACATTAATATCTGATTTGTAAAACATCACAGACAGAAAGGTATATCCGTCATTTAACGGTAAGCTATTGAAATTGTGAATCCATAGATGTGTCTCCCATCCCCCAAAACCCCTGATTATTCTCTCAACTCAGTATTTACATTCTTATATTCAAAGAAAATCAGTAATATCTTTAAAAACGACAAGTCCTTTTCTATCAGCTGTGCACCGTTATGGTGTAAATATAACCTATCTACCAATTGGATCAAATATAAAAGTCAGCCGAATTAGTATTGATACTGCAAGGAGACGTATTGTGTGAAGAGAAATGTAAGATGTTGTTTAATTGCTGATATATTTATGATCCACGTCACGTTTTCAGTTTCGGCGGCACTTCTTCCAGTTTGTCCAGAAGTCTTCTCATCAGGGCTCTATAAATAAAGAACTACGGCAGATGTGTAATATTTAATGCAGCCGAACCGTGTATTACAATGCCGTTATGTGATGACTTCCAAAGAGAAAAGCAAGAACACTCGGAATAAAGTATTGTTATTATTTTTTTTTATGTTTTCGGATTTCACATCGCATAAACACCATATCCCAACGTGCATTGCGGCTAAAACATCCAATCACGAGCTTCAACCATAGCTGAGGACCTTGCCTACGTCTGTTTCCGGTATTGTTTATGACGGATGTATTTTGTTATACACACATTCCTTCACATTTTAATTTTAATTTACATTAAAGTATTTCGTGAAGCCTTTTAAAATATTTTTAAATATAACTAGGGTTCTAAAGTTTGTAAATTAAAATGAACCCAAGCTGTTGCCTGGCAACGCAATCGCACAACGTCACGTCCGGTAATTCCACAACCACACACATGGATTAACATCGATTTAATACATTAAGGTAGCCTTTGTTTCTGCTAAAAGAGGTGTCGACCAGCTGGGGCAACAAGGAAATCTGCGAAATCGAGTGTGACTATTAAAAAATAAATTAAAAATATTTAATATTAACAATAACAACCGACCGTCGGGGTAGAGCATTTGCTTGGCACTTCCGGGTATTTCTCCACTGGATGGGCCATGTTAACAATACTGTGTAACTGTCACGTTTGAAGGGACGAAATAGTGACATCTTCACGTCTCCCAGCGTGGTAGATCGTCACATGTTCACGTCTTGCCGTGATACCGGGTTGGTTCCCTCCTGTCTGAAACGCCTCCTTTACTCCTTTGTTTACTTTTGTGACATCACTATGTAACACTCGCGCATCTCTAAGCTGGTTAACCAATCCCAACAGAGCCGACCAGCTAACCAATCAGAGCAGACTGGCTCTGGTTTCAGACAGAGGGTGAAAAGAGGTGCTGCAGCACAGGCAGAATGAGAAAAATAAAGAGCTTTTTGAACATATTGTTGATTCTTTAGACCAGGGGTCGGCAACCCCTGGCACGCGTGCCACCAATGGCACGCGGCACCGTAACCAGTGGCACACTAGGAATAAGTGGAATAAGTGGAATAAGTGTACAAAATATTTATTTTATTTTCGGATCCTGAACGAGACCGCCGCCAGAGCGCGTCTCCCCGTTACCTGCAGAAGGAAGCCATGCACGCAGCGCAGCCCGACTCTCTTTAACTCCAGGCGACTTTCTTCCGCTTTCCTCCGTAATGCAGTGCTGATAGTTTCACCACAGAGGAAAGTACTTCACAAATTGCATTACCCATAAGGAGCTGTAAAAATGCCCCAGTTTTTGCGTGGCGATCGATATCGGCCGATACTCACTCTGCCGATCGATCGGTGCTGTCTAAAAAGGCCGATCGCGAGTAACATACATGACACTTTTCTCTGTGTGCGGCAAAACAAGCTCGCCAAAATCGCTTCACCAGTCTGGCAGTATTTTAAGGTGTCCGAAAATGACAATAAAATAGCGGTTTGCAACGTGTGTGTGAAGCAGAAATCCTGCAGCTCCACCCGCTGTGACGGACCGGTGAGCGGAGCAAAACACACAAGAGTTAGACCTAACACACTTAGCTATTTGATCTACCTTTGGAACTAGTTATACATATATTTATTCTTCACTGTCACTCATTACTGGATCAGTGAGCTGCATGAGATACTGACAGGCTGTCAGGAGAGAGAGAGAGGGGGAGAGAGGAAAAGAGAGCGCTTCCGCTCATTTCTCCCGTGTTATTATCCAAAGTTAATGTAAACTTGAATAATGTACTTCATTTGAATGTAACAATTATGTTGGTTGTTGTTTGTGGAAGCGCCAGTGAATGATCCCCATTAACTGAGTTTTAAACATCACTTTTCACGAGTGTTTTCGTCGAGCTCTTCAAACCCCCCCCCCCCCGTTGATAATTCACGATCATCGGCACGCCGATAAAACATTTTTTTTAGAATGGCACTTCATATCAAAAAGGTTGCCGACCCCTGCTTTAGATAATAACTGAACAGAAAGCTGAGTGACGTAAATGAATGATGTCAGAAATGTGGATTGTAATCTTTTTATTGTGTGTGTGTGTGTGTGTGTGTGTGTGTGTGTTGGCAGGCAAGGTGGAAACACTTGGACTCAGTGAAGACATCTGGAGAGACTTATAAGCTACTGTAGGTGGAACACACACACACACACACACACACACACACACACACACACACACACACACACACACACACACACACACACACACACACACACACACACAGAGAGCCTCTTGTTCTCCTTCCTCTGCTGGAGGTGGAACAGTAACTCTTGTTTCTGGAAAACAAGTCGCTGATTTTCCTCTCAGAGATTTCTTTGCAATATTTAAACCAGAGCCCAGTCTGCTCTGATTGGTCAACAGCTTAAAGATGTCCCGCCCCTTAGCCTATCACGTACGATGTGTTGGAACGCTAGCCAATAGGAGCGCCAGTGTTCCGTAGTGATGTCACTATGTTCCTGAACTTTGGGATTTTGGCCTTTGCAGACCATTTACATGCACTCAAACCTGTATAGAACACTACAGGAGAGGGAACACCACAAAACGCAGAATAGGGCTCCTTTAAAGATGTTTCTTTGTATTGTGAGTTTTATGTCCTGTAAATGTACATCTTCATTCTTTAAAAAAAAAACATTTATGACTTCAAACTCTGAGTTTAGTCATGTGTTATATTATGTATATAATGAGTTTTGTTCCAGTAACTCATCTCATCATCTCACATTAATTAAAAAGTTTCTCAGAGAACATCCCTCTTGCAGCGGTTTTAATATAAAGCTTATTTTAATGCATGTTTTTGAGGGTTTTTAAATGAAGTAACTCGGCCTCTTTTCAGAACAGTGAAGCAACAGGAAGAGACTTCGACAAACAGTGTAGGACGTTTTATTTTATTACATTCATGAAGTTACAGTCCATCAATAACCTCTAACATGTTGTATTAAGAAGTCTAATGAGTGTAAGGGAAGTGAGAAGTGGAAAAATACGGGTAAATCTGTGTGTGTGGTGCATTCAGGGCCTGCAGCTGTGTGTGTGGTGCATTCAGGGCCTGCAGCTGTGTGTGTGGTGCATTCAGGGCATGCATATGTGTGTGTGGTGCATTAAAAAGAGTGTGTGGTGCATGAAAAGGAGTGTGTGTTGCATTCAGGGCCTCAAAAGGTGTGTGTGTTGCATGCATCTGTGTGTGTGATGCATTAAAAGGTGTGTGTGGTGCGTTATAAAGCGTGTGTGATGCATTCAGGGCCTGCATCTGTGTTTGTGGTGCATTCAAGGTTTGAAAAGGTGTGTGTGGTGCATTCAGGGTTTGAAAAGGTGTGTGTGGTGCATTCAGGCCCTGCAGAGGTGTGTGTGGTGCATTAAAAGGGTGGTGTGGTGCATTCAGGGTTTGAAAAGGTGTGTGTGGTGCATTCAGGGCCTGCAGAGGTGTGTGTGGTGCATTAAAAGGGCGGTGTGGTGCATTCAGGGCCTGCAGAGGTGTGTGTAGCATCGCTGGGGGAGGAGCCAGGTGTTGCTGCAGGTAAGGCGGCCATCTTGTGTTCCAAGGAGCTCCTCCCCACGTCGTTTCTTCTTCTTCCTGCTGCTGTTTGAGGGAAAGGAGGAAGAAGAATACATCACTCTGTTATCATGCACCCCCCTGTAATATATTTCTAATCAGCTTTTCTAGATTGGAAAAATTGTGTAGAAAAAAATTATACGGTGGCCCTGAAGTGCAAAGTCAAAAAACATTTCACAAAACGCTACAGCATTTCACAAAACAATTCAGCATTTCACAAAACACTACAGCATTTCACAAAACACTTCAGCATTTCACAAAACACTTCAGCATTTCACAAAACACTACAGCATTTCACAAAACACTACAGCATTTAAGAAAACACTACAGCATTTCACAAAACACTACAGCATTTCAGAAAACACTACAGCATTTCACAAAACACTACAGCATTTCACAAAACACTTCAGCATTTCACAAAACACTACAGCATTTCACAAAACACTTCAGCATTTCACAAAACACTACAGCATTTCACAAAACACCACAGCATTTCACAAAACACTACAGCATTTCACAAAACACTACAGCATTTCACAAAACACTTCAGCATTTCACAAAACACTACAGCATTTCACAAAACACGACAGCATTTAAGAAAACACTACAGCATTTCACAAAACACTACAGCATTTCAGAAAACACTACAGCATTTCACAAAACACTACAGCATTTCACTAAACACTACAGCATTTCACAAAACAATTCAGCATTTAACAAAACACTTCAGCATTTCACAAAACACTACAGCATTTCACAAAACACTACAGCATTTAAGAAAACACTACAGCATTTCACAAAACACTACAGCATTTCAGAAAACACTACAGCATTTCACAAAACACTACAGCATTTCACAAAACACTTCAGCATTTCACAAAACACTACAGCATTTCACAAAACACTACAGCATTTCACAAAACACTTCAGCATTTAAGAAAACACTACAGCATTTCAGAAAACACTACAGCATTTCACAAAACACTACAGCATTTAAGAAAACACTACAGCATTTAAGAAAACGCTACAGCATTTAAGAAAACGCTACAACATTTCACAAAACACTACAGCATTTAAGAAAACACTACAGCATTTCACAAAACACTACAGCATTTCAGAAAACGCTACAGCATTTAAGAAAACACTACAGCATTTCAGAAAACACTTCAGCATTTCAGAAAACACTACAGCATTTCACAAAACACTACAGCATTTCACAAAACACTACAGCATTTCAGAAAACACTACAGCATTTCACAAAACACTACAGCATTTCAGAAAACACTTCAGCATTTCACAAAACACTTCAGCATTTCACAAAACACTTCAGCATTTCAGAAAACACTTCAGCATTTCACAAAACACTACAGCATTTCACAAAACACTTCAACATTTCAGAAAACACTTCAGCATTTCAGAAAACACTTCAGCATTTAAGAAAACACTACAACATTTCAGAAAACACCACAGCATTTCACAAAACACTACAGCATTTCAGAAAACACTTCAACATTTCAGAAAACACTTCAGCATTTCACAAAACACTACAGCATTTCACAAAACACTTCAGCATTTCACAAAACACTACAGCATTTCACAAAACACTTCAACATTTCAGAAAACACTTCAGCATTTCACAAAACACTACAGCATTTCACAAAACACTTCAGCATTTCACAAAACACTTCAACATTTCAGAAAACACTTCAACATTTCAGAAAACACCACAGCATTTCACAAAACACTTCAACATTTCAGAAAACACTTCAGCATTTCAGAAAACACTACAGCATTTCACAAAACACTACAGCATTTCAGAAAACACTTCAACATTTCAGAAAACACTTCAGCATTTCACAAAACACTACAGCATTTCACAAAACACTTCAGCATTTCACAAAACACTTCAACATTTCAGAAAACACTTCAACATTTCAGAAAACACCACAGCATTTCACAAAACACTACAGCATTTCACAAAACACTTCAGCATTTCACAAAACACTTCAGCATTTCACAAAACACTACAGCATTTAAGAAAACACTACAGCATTTCACAAAACACTTCAGCATTTCAGAAAACGCTACAGCATTTCAGAAAACACTTCAGCATTTCAGAAAACACTACAGCATTTCACAAAACACTACAACATTTCACAAAACACTTCAGCATTTCACAAAACACTACAGCATTTCACAAAACACTTCAGCATTTCACAAAACACTACAGCATTTCACAAAACACTTCAGCATTTCACAAAACACTACAGCATTTCACAAAACACTTCAGCATTTCAGAAAACGCTACAGCATTTCAGAAAACACTTCAGCATTTCACAAAACACTTCAGCATTTCACAAAACACTTCAACATTTCAGAAAACACTTCAACATTTCAGAAAACACTTCAACATTTCACAAAACACTACAGCATTTCACAAAACACTTCAGCATTTCACAAAACACTTCAACATTTCAGAAAACACTTCAACATTTCAGAAAACACCACAGCATTTCACAAAACACTTCAACATTTCAGAAAACACTTCAGCATTTCACAAAACACTACAACATTTCACAAAACACTTCAGCATTTCACAAAACACTACAGCATTTCACAAAACACTTCAGCATTTCACAAAACACTACAGCATTTCACAAAACACTTCAGCATTTCACAAAACGCTACAGCATTTCACAAAACACTTCAGCATTTCACAAAACACTTCAGCATTTCACAAAACGCTACAGCATTTCACAAAACACTTCAGCATTTCACAAAACACTACAGCATTTCAGAAAACACTACAGCATTTCACAAAACGCTACAGCATTTCACAAAACACTTCAGCATTTCACAAAACACTACAGCATTTAAGAAAACACTACAGCATTTCACAAAACAATACAGCATTTCACAAAACGCTACAACATTTCAGAAAACACTTCAGCATTTCACAAAACACTACAGCATTTCACAAAACACTACAGCATTTCAGAAAACACTACAGCATTTCACAAAACGCTACAGCATTTCACAAAACACTACAGCATTTCACAAAACACTACAGCATTTCACTAAACACTACAGCATTTCACAAAACACTTCAGCATTTCACAAAACGCTACAGCATTTCAGAAAACACTACAGCATTTCACAAAACACTACAGCATTTCACAAAACGCTACAGCATTTCACAAAACACTTCAGCATTTCACAAAACACTTCAGCATTTCACAAAACACTACAGCATTTAAGAAAACACTACAGCATTTCACAAAACACTACAGCATTTCACAAAACACTACAGCATTTCACAAAACACTTAAGCATTTCACAAAACACTACAGCATTTCACAAAACACTACAGCATTTCACAAAACGCTACAGCATTTCACAAAACACTACAGCATTTCAGAAAACACTACAGCATTTCACAAAACACTACAGCATTTCACAAAACACTTCAGCATTTCACAAAACACTACAGCATTTCACAAAACACTACAGCATTTCAGAAAACACTACAGCATTTCACAAAACGCTACAGCATTTCACAAAACACTACAGCATTTCAGAAAACACTACAGCATTTCACAAAACACTACAGCATTTCAGAAAACACTACAGCATTTCACAAAACGCTACAGCATTTCACAAAACACTTCAGCATTTCACAAAACACTACAGCATTTAAGAAAACACTACAGCATTTCACTAAACACTACAGCATTTCACAAAACACTACAGCATTTCACTAAACACTACAGCATTTCACTAAACACTACAGCATTTCACAAAACACTTCAGCATTTCACAAAACACTACAGCATTTCACAAAACACTTCAGCATTTCACAAAACACTTCAGCATTTCACAAAACACTACAGCATTTAAGAAAACACTACAGCATTTCACAAAACACTACAGCATTTCACAAAACACTACAGCATTTCAGAAAACACTTCAGCATTTCACAAAACACTACAGCATTTCACAAAACACTACAGCATTTAAGAAAACACTACAGCATTTCACAAAACACTACAGCATTTCACAAAACGCTACAACATTTCAGAAAACACTTCAGCATTTCACAAAACACTACAGCATTTCAGAAAACACTACAGCATTTCACAAAACGCTACAGCATTTCACAAAACACTACAGCATTTCACAAAACACTACAGCATTTCACAAAACACTTCAGCATTTCACAAAACGCTACAGCATTTCACAAAACACTACAGCATTTAAGAAAACACTACAGCATTTCACAAAACACTACAGCATTTCACAAAATGCTACAACATTTCAGAAAACACTTCAGCATTTCACAAAACACTACAGCATTTCAGAAAACACTACAGCATTTCACAAAACGCTACAGCATTTCACAGAACACTACAGCATTTCACAAAACACTACAGCATTTCACTAAACACTACAGCATTTCACAAAACACTTCAGCATTTCACAAAACGCTACAGCATTTCAGAAAACACTACAGTATTTCACAAAACACTACAGCATTTCACTAAACACTACAGCATTTCACAAAACACTTCAGCATTTCACAAAACACTTCAGCATTTCACAAAACACTTCAGCATTTCACAAAACACTACAGCATTTCACTAAAACACTACAGCATTTCACAAAACACTTCAGCATTTCACAAAACACTTCAGCATTTCACAAAACGCTACAGCATTTCACAAAACACTACAGCATTTCACAAAACACTTCAGCATTTCACAAAACACTACAGCATTTAAGAAAACACTACAGCATTTCACAAAACACCACAGCATTTCACAAAACACTACAGCATTTCACAAAACACTACAGCATTTCACAAAACGCTACAGCATTTCACAAAACACTACAGCATTTCAGAAAACACTTCAGCATTTCACAAAACACTACAGCATTTCACAAAACACTTCAGCATTTCACAAAACACTACAGCATTTAAGAAAACACTACAGCATTTCACAAAACACTACAGCATTTCACAAAACGCTACAACATTTCAGAAAACACTTCAGCATTTCACAAAACACTACAGCATTTCACAAAACACTACAGCATTTCACAAACACTTCAGCATTTCACAAAACACTACAGCATTTAAGAAAACACTACAGCATTTCACAAAACACTACAGCATTTCACAAAACACTACAGCATTTCACAAAACACTTCAGCATTTCACAAAACACTACAGCATTTAAGAAAACACTACAGCATTTCACAAAACACTACAGCATTTCACAAAACGCTACAACATTTCAGAAAACACTTCAGCATTTCACAAAACACTACAGCATTTCACAAAACGCTACAGCATTTCACAAAACACTACAGCATTTCAGAAAACACTACAGCATTTCACAAAACGCTACAGCATTTCACAAAACACTACAGCATTTCAGAAAACACTACAGCATTTCACAAAACACTTCAGCATTTCACAAAACACTTCAGCATTTCAGAAAACACTACAGCATTTAAGAAAACACTACAGCATTTCACTAAACACTTCAGCATTTCACAAAACACTACAGCATTTCACAAAACACTACAACATTTCACAAAACACTACAGCATTTAAGAAAACACTACAGCATTTCACAAAACACTACAGCATTTAAAAAAACACTTCAGCATTTCACAAAACACTACAGCATTTAAGAAAACACTACAGCATTTAAAAAAACACTTCAGCATTTCACAAAACACTTCAGCATTTCACAAAACACTACAGCATTTAAAAAAACACTTCAGCATTTCACAAAACACTACAGCATTTCAGAAAACACTACAGCATTTCACAAAACACTTCAGCATTTCACAAAACACTTCAGCATTTAAGAAAACACTACAGCATTTCACAAAACACTACAGCATTTAAAAAAACACTTCAGCATTTCACAAAACACTTCAGCATTTCAGAAAACACTACAGCATTTCACAAAACACTTCAGCATTTCACAAAACACTTCAGCATTTAAGAAAACACTACAGCATTTCACAAAACACTACAGCATTTAAAAAAACACTTCAGCATTTCACAAAACACTACAGCATTTCAGAAAACACTACAGCATTTCACAAAACACTTCAGCATTTCACAAAACACTTCAGCATTTAAGAAAACACTACAGCATTTCACAAAACACTACAGCATTTAAAAAAACACTTCAGCATTTCACAAAACACTACAGCATTTCAGAAAACACTACAGCATTTCACAAAACACTTCAGCATTTCACAAAACACTACAGCATTTAAGAAAACACTACAGCATTTCACAAAACACTACAGCATTTAAAAAAACACTTCAGCATTTCACAAAACACTTCAGCATTTCACAAAACACTACAGCATTTAAAAAAACACTTCAGCATTTCACAAAACACTTCAGCATTTCACAAAACACTACAGCATTTAAAAAAACACTTCAGCATTTCACAAAACACTACAGCATTTCAGAAAACACTTCAGCATTTCACAAAACACTTCAGCATTTCAAAAAACACTACAGCATTTCACAAAACACTACAGCATTTCAGAGGCCGGAGCTCTCTCACCTGCTGTCTGAGGAAGAGGTGGGATGAAGAGGAGGAAGAGGAAGAGGGGGGGTCGTTGAACACCTCCAGGTGCAGGGTGGAGACGACGGTGTGGGGGCGGGGCATCAGAGAGAGAGGGGTGAGGCGGGGGGCGAACGAGGAGGAGGAGGAGAGGGAGGAGGGCAGGGAGGAGGGGAGGGAGGAAGATTTAACGAGCCTCAATCTCCTCTTCTTCGTCTTACTGTCCATTTTCTGTCCGTCCACTTCTTCCTGTTTTTCCACTTCTTCCTGTTTTTCCACTTCTTCCTGTTTTTCCACTTCTTCATTTCTCTCCTCTTCCTCCTCGGAGCAGCTGGGGGATGAAGAGGAGGAGGAAGATGAAGATGACCCCCCCTCTGGTCCCGAGTCGTCATTGGAGGAGCTGGACTCCCCCTCCCCCCCCCGGCGTAGCATGTTAGCCTTGTGGTTGTAGCATGCGGCGCAGCGGGTGAGGGAGGGGCGGGGCTAAGGGAGGAAACAGGAAGTCAGAAACTCTTAAATGACTTACTGGGAAATCAACAATCAGCTAAACATCACCCGACTTTGAGGTCACTCTGACTCGCCGTCCTTTAACGTAGAAATAAGATTAAAAGTGTAATGAGTTCTCCAGACTCTCTTTAGTGTCCCCTGGTCTCCCAGCTGTGTGCGTCACTCTTTAGTGTCCCCTGGTCTCCAGCTGTGTGCGTCACTCTTTAGTGTCCCCTGGTCCCAGCTGTGTGCGTCACTCTTTAGTGTCCCCTGGTCTCCCAGCTGTGTGCGTCACTTTTAGTGTCCCCTGGTCTCCCAGCTGTGTGCGTCACTCTTTAGTGTCCCCTGGTCTCCCAGCTGTGTGCGTCACTCTTTAGTGTCCCCTGGTCTCCCAGCTGTGTGCGTCACTCTTTAGTGTCCCCTGGTCTCCCAGCTGTGTGCGTCACTCTTTAGTGTCCCCTGGTCTCCCAGCTGTGTGCGTCACTCTTTAGTGTCCCCTGGTCTCCCAGCTGTGTGCGTCACTCTTTAGTGTCCCCTGGTCTCCCAGCTGTGTGCGTCACTCTTTAGTGTCCCCTGGTCTCCAGCTGTGTGCGTCACTCTTTAGTGTCCCCTGGTCTCCAGCTGTGTGCGTCCCTCTTTAGTGTCCCCTGGTCTCCCAGCTGTGTGCGTCACTCTTTAGTGTCCCCTGGTCTCCCAGCTGTGTGCGTCCACTCTTTAGTGTCCCCTGGTCTCCCAGCTGTGTGCGTCACTCTTTAGTGTCCCCTGGTCTCCCAGCTGTGTGCGTCACTCTTTAGTGTCCCCTGGTCTCCCAGCTGTGTGCGTCACTCTTTAGTGTCCCCTGGTCTCCCAGCTGTGTGCGTCACTCTTTAGTGTCCCCTGGTCTCCCAGCTGTGTGCGTCACTCTTCCCTGTCTCCCAGCTGTGTGCGTCACTCTTAGTGTCCCTAGGTCTCCCAGCTGTGTGCGTCACTCTTTAGTGTCCCCTGGTCTCCCAGCTGTGTGCGTCACTCTTTAGTGTCCCCTGGTCTCCCAGCTCTGTGCGTCACTCTTTAGTGTCCCCTGGTCTCCCAGCTGTGTGCGTCACTCTTTAGTGTCCCCTGGTCTCCCAGCTGTGTGCGTCAGTGTCCTTCAGTGTTTTGGATTTGCAGCGTTTGCTTTCTGCAGCTTTTAGTAAACGCTGCTCATGTCTCCTCAAGTTGCTGAAGATGTTTCGTCATGAGGAACATTTGTGTTTTTATATCTGCATCCTCTCTGCAGCTGCAGCTCCGTATCAATAACCTTATAAAGCAGCATGGAAGTCTCTCTTTGTGCCTCTTTCTATCTGCAGAGGGTTACCAACAGGACTTGTTTTCAGGATGTTTAAAGTGTCCCTCTCACCTTTGGCTGAGTTTCAGACTCCAGCTGCTGAACTGCATTCATCTCCAGGAACACCCTGCGGTAACAAGTCAACGGAAAGAGACAAATAAATGATATTTATAAAGAACTTCTTAAAACACAAGCAGGCTGAAAATAAAAATCATAAATAAAAAGAAAACTCCACATGTTTTTATTTATTTCACTTTTAAATTTGATCTCTTCTCTTTCGTAGTCTTAAAATATGTATTATTTATTTGACCAATTAATTGTACTTAGTAGAAGTAGTGTAGGAATACTCTGTTACAGTAAAAGTCCTGCATTCAAAAATGTTCCTCAAGTAGAAGCAGAAGTACTCAGGTCTTGTACTTGAGTAGAAGTATAAGTACCAGAGTGTAGGAATACTCTGTTACAGTAAAAGTCCTGCATTCATCCAGATCTGTAAAGATCAACACCATCAGGTCTAAAACCTCCAGACTCAGACAGTTTCATCCCACGGGCCATAAGACTGCTAAACACCTGAACTTTGAAACAACATCCATAACATTCATCTGGCTGCTACTTCGGAATTATTTATCCAATATATCATATTCCAATAACTGGTATATAGACTGCTATTCCACTATTTTTCTTTTTGTATTTATATTTACTATTTACTTGCACTATTTTTTCTGTTATCTGTGTTATTGTGTTGCTCTGTGTGTGACCACAGATCTTCATCGTCATATCTTCACTGTAGATATGCACGTATGACCAATAAAAGCCTTGAACCTTGAAACTAAAGGTATTAAATACATGTAGGGGAGGAAAAGTACACCATGTACCTCTGAACTGTAGAAGTACACAGTAGCATAACATGGAAATGCTCAAGTACCTCTAAATTGTACTTTATTAGATGAATTAGTAAATGTACTTACTGTAGTTACTTTACATAGTAGTATGAAGATATACAGTATATCAGACACTATGAATATACCATAGACCGTTACTCACATTTAAAATAATATGAGGTCACTTTTAATACATTTTTAAACCCTAAATAAAGTCATATATATGGTTAAATCATTTTGAACAACCACGATGTTAAAAATAATTATACTTTTATCATTTTAAATATTAAGTAATATGTATATTCAACTTGAAATGTGTGAATAAAATAAAAAGAGTACTCACTTTTCCTCCGACCTCTCCTCGGCTCCAGGATGTGTGTGTGTGGGTGTGCGGAGTGTGTGTTCAGGTAGCTCTGTTATCTCTGGTGTGTGAGTACATGGGCAAAAAAACAACACACACACACACACACACACACACCCTCTGTAAACACAGCTGGATCGCCCAATGGCACGAGACACTTTCATTTGCAAGTACAAGTATTTATTGATAGAAATGTGTGAATAAAACACAAAAATATAAATATTTGACAATTAAAAACAACCATAATTTTAATATTTTAGATTTTATCCAAATATTTAAATGTTAGACGATGAAAACCACGTGCAGACACTTAAGGCATGAAACAGGCTGTCATCAAATTAAATAATATATAAATGTATTTTAAACACCACTCTCATGTCAGTTGATGTAAAACCGATAGCTGTTAGCTTAGCTTAGCATAAAGACTGGAAACAGAGGGAAACTGTTAGCCTAGCGCTGCCTAATGCTAACAGAATTCAACAAAACGCTCAATCATTAACACCTTTTCTCTCTTTAAATGTCTTTTCTGTATAAATACAAATCATTTCATTTCAATGTCAGAAAGGAAACACGGCGTCTATTTGGAGACAGGTATACATTACAAGGGTTTATGAAATACGCTAACATGTAAGGCTGCTGCAAATCACACTGTAACAAATAATCAGCTTCACAATCATCACGGTACCTTCAACGCTTCATCAGAGCGAACACACACACACACACACACACACACACACACACACACACACACACACACACACACACACACACACACACACACACACACACACACACACACACACACACACACACACACACACACACACACACACACACACAATCACTAAACTGGACGTGTGTTTTCTGTAATTCCTAGCTTTTATTTTCAATATGTTCTTGATGCTTCTTGAGAGATATGAAGCCATGTTTGTCTCCTTGCTGTAACAGTTGTAACCGTCCTCTCTGTGGGACGGTAACGGTGTTCTGATTCTGATATTTCCCCATTAAACGTGATGTAGAACATCTCTGCGTCAGAAAGCAAACAAGATCAAGTGTGTTTATACAGCTGCACATCACAAGATGACAGGGTGTGTGTGTGTGTGTGTGTGTGTGTGTGAGTGTGTGTGTGTGTGTGTGAGTGTGTGTGTGTGTGACAGGTGGCCGTTGCAAAGTCTTTACAACCATCTAAATGTTTCCACCCAGCCTTTTGTTGATTTATCTTATTTCTATAGTCGCTGTACCTCTTTGTCCCCTCCTTGGGTTTCATGAGAGGCTAATCCAAGTTATTATTACCATTATTATTATGATATAAAGCAGGGGCGTTTCTAGAAAGATATGAGTCCTGAGTCTCTGAACTTGTTTATAAGATCTATAAAGAGACCATAACGCACGTCTCCTGACGTAAAAACAAAGCTCTGTTTGAAACTCATATTTCTGGAGGAATTATACAGTTTTTGACGAACAGAAATATCGTTTTCTGGCATCACGTTAACATTTTACGGGGAAAATCTGCATTTTGGAGGATGTTCCCTCGTCTATCGCTGCCTCTATCTGTTCGTTTAAAGTGTTTTGTTCAACTCCGGTGTATCAGATTTAAACTTGTATTAAATCTGACCGTAACACAAACTAACTGACAGATAGATCAGAAACTCCTGAGGGCGGTTAAATGACTGATTTATCAACGGAGTCTGGAGGTTCAAAGAGAGAGCGTAGACATTTGGGGGAAATGTATTAAAGGGGACATATAGTACTGATGTTCAGGTGTGTATTATTGAGTGTCTCTACTGGGACATGTTTCCATGCTTTAATGTTCAAACAGACACTTGTTAGTAACCACAGTTTGTAAATCCACCAGTGGAACCTTTACTGACGTATTTAATCTCTTCAGCTTGAGTTAATCACAGACGATAACAACCAAAAACACATCCAGTAAACCATTGACCTGCAGACCAGAGGACAGGAAGTGAAGAAATGCTGACTCATTCATGGCTTTTAGGACTCATTCCTGCACCTCTCTTCTGTAGCTTAGTTTTCACAGTTGGATTCATCGATAATTAATTTGAAGAAACATGTCTCTTACCCGACAGAATTAAATAACATACTTGTTATTATTTGACATGAATGCAGATGAATCCTCTTTAGAAAAGGGTTTTCTAACATGCTAAGCAGCTCCAGAGAGAAACACTCTGTGTGCTTCATCTGAACTCACGTTGAACCTTAATGAAGGTTATTCATGTAAAACACTTATTAAAAACACTTAGTACAGCCCTGAGAGCTCCACACACTGCGACTAAACACAGAAACACTTAACAGACTGAATGTATTTCTTACAGTGTAGAGTTTGAGCCCTCAGAGCCACCGTACTCTTCAGGGTCCTTCTGTTTGGCTGTCATTCATCAATAAAAAAAGGCAAGAAAAACACACGAGAAACACTGAAGGCAGAAAACACACTCGTCTGAATCTCCTCAACGTGTCCCAGTCCTTCCTCCTGCTGTGGAGGAACATGTAGACGATGCTTTTTAAAGAAAGGCCAGGTGTCGAGTGACGGCAGGAAACTCTGTCCGAGAGATTCTTCATCAAAACGCCACGAAAACACACTTTCTCTGACCAATAATCCAGTTTGTATACTCACTCCTTCCTCTTTTCACCTGCCAGGGTTTCAGCTCCAGGAGTTAGTGTGTGTGTGTGTGTGTGTGTGTGTGTGTGTGTGTGTGTGTGTGTGTGTGTGTGTGTGTGTGTGTGAGACAGAGAGAGGGAGAGAGAGAGTGTGTGTGTGTGTGTCTGTGAGAGAGAGGGAGAGAGAGAGGAGGAGAGAGAGAGAGGAGAGGAGAGAGTGTGTGTGTGTGTGTGTGTGTGTGTGTGTGTGTGTGTGTGTGTGTGTGTGTGTGTGTGTGTGTGCGTGTGTGTGTGTGTTCAGATGGACAGGTCAGTGTCTGTGTCGGTGGGCGTCGTCTTGGCGCTGCTCCCTCTCTCCTCGGGGATGGAGGACGAGTCACCGTTCACACCTGCAACACACACACACACACACACACACACACACACACACACACACACACACACACACACACACACACACACACACACACACACACAAGTTGAAGCCTGATTATTTTTAATAAACGTAACGTTGTCTTTGTAATGATTCCTATGATAAACTAACCATGGCTTTTTTAAGACGTACTTCATGGCTTTGTGTAACTTTTATTGGTGTTTACTTTTCACATTGTGAGTTTCCTGCAGCTCGAAACACGGCGTTATTTTAACGTCTTTATTTAAAGATGTTTATAAAGAGTTCCTCACGCTCAGCGTCGTACAGCGAGCTGTCGGAGCAGGTCCGGTTCCTGCGCTGCGACCTCTGACCTCCGCCCAGATACTCCTTCAACACTCCTGACCTGAGGGGGAATTACATGTTCAAATCTACTTTACACTCTCTCATCTGAAATGTTATCTATAAGACCCGCTCGAGTGGCCGCCTGTTACAGCAGAGCAGCTCAAGTATTATGTGCATGCTCTTTATCTAATAGTGCTTTATTTAAAAAAAAAAGTAACCTTTAAATCGTTGAAATAATGCAATTCCTGTTCAGCGCTGCCCCCTGGAGGCCGGAGGTGATAATGCTGCCAAGCTTTATTCTGAACAGAGGGTTCACTTCACATGTTTAACAGGAAATAAAGACTATTAGAAATGATAAACATGATGTCATAAAGTGACCACAATCTGATCAGCTCATTTTCAGACAGGTTTTGATAAAAAATGGATCGAGTCTTTGTTCCTGAAACTTTCAGAGTCTCTTTACACAGATACAGACATTTTTGGATTAGACGGAACTACAGTAGGTTTTGAGAATAGAAAAGGTAAATAAAGTAGTAGTTGTTGTAATGAAGAGGCGTTTACTGACCGGTCGAAGCTGTATGTCCCCGGGTGGCTGATGGACCTCTGCATCTGGACAGAGACATTTAGTTAGAGACACTTTTATATTCAGACAATAACACTGTTAACCACTACTATTCAGACAATAAGACTGTTAACCCTACCATTCAGACAATAAGACTGTTAACCACTACTATTCAGACAATAAGACTGTTAACCCTACTATTCAGACAATAAGACTGTTAACCCTACTATTCAGACAATAACACTGTTAACCACTACTATTCAGACAATAAGACTGTTAACCCTACCATTCAGACAATAAGACTGTTAACCACTACTATTCAGACAATAAGACTGTTAACCACTACTATTCAGACAATAACACTGTTAACCACTACTATTCAGACAATAAGACTGTTAACCACTACTATTCAGACAATAAGACTGTTAACCCTACTATTCAGACAATAACACTGTTAACCACTACTATTCAGACAATAAGACTGTTAACCACTACTATTCAGACAATAAGACTGTTAACCACTACTATTCAGACAATAAGACTGTTAACCACTACTATTCAGACAATAAGACTGTTAACCCTACTATTCAGACAATAAGACTGTTAACCCTACTATTCAGACAATAACACTGTTAACCACTACTATTCAGACAATAAGACTGTTAACCACTACTATTCAGACAATAAGACTGTTAACCACTACCATTCAGACAATAAGACTGTTAACCCTACTATTCAGACAATAAGACTGTTAACCACTACTATTCAGACAATAAGACTGTTAACCACTACTATTCAGACAATAAGACTGTTAACCCTACTATTCAGACAATAAGACTGTTAACCCTACTATTCAGACAATAACACTGTTAACCACTACTATTCAGACAATAAGACTGTTAACCCTACTATTCAGACAATAAGACTGTTAACCCTACTATTCAGACAATAACACTGTTAACCCTACTATTCAGACAATAACACTGTTAACCACTACTATTCAGACAATAAGACTGTTAACCACTACTATTCAGACAATAAGACTGTTAACCCTACTATTCAGACAATAAGACTGTTAACCCTACTATTCAGACAATAAGACTGTTAACCCTACTATTCAGACAATAAGACTGTTAACCCTACTATTCAGACAATAAGACTGTTAACCCCTAGACATAAGATGTACCCTACTATCAGACAATAACACTGTTAACCCTACTATTCAGACAATAAGACTGTTAACCCTACTATTCAGACAATAAGACTGTTAACCCTACTATTCAGACAATAAGACTGTTAACCCTACTATTCAGACAATAAGACTGTTAACCACTAATATTCAGACAATAAGACTGTTAACCCTACTATTCAGACAATAAGACTGTTAACCCTACTATTCAGACAATAAGACTGTTAACCACTACTATTCAGACAATAAGACTGTTAACACTACTATTCAGACAATACGACTGTTAACCCTACTATTCAGACAATAAGACTGTTAACCCTACTATTCAGACAATAAGACTGTTAACCCTACTATTCAGACAATAAGACTGTTAACCCTACTATTCAGACATGTTTATGGCTGTTTGACTAAAACCCTTTGTGAACACACCGTTAGAAATACACCTCATTTATACAGTTCTATGCGTTTAACGTGTTTAGACTGTAAAAATGCACGTTGACCCGTTGTTCAGCATGGAAACATTCATTAGCTAACAATGACTTTATTGTTCTATTAATATAAAGGGAGGTCAGGTACTCTTTAAAACAGCTGCTGGTTATGGGTACTTTTTACTGAAGTACATTTCAAAGCCCTCTTTACTTTTACTTGAGTAAAGAAGTTTAGTCAGTACTTCTACTTTCACCAGAGTATATTTAAACACGAGTATCTGTACTTCTACTTGAGTAAAGGATGTGTGTACTTCTACTTGAGAAAAGGATGTGTGTACTTCTACTTGAGTAAAGGATGTGTACTTCTACTTGAGAAAAGGATGTGTGTACTTCTACTTGAGTAAAGGATGTGTGTACTTCTACTTGAGTAAAGGATGTGTGTACTTCTACTTCAGTAAAGGATGTGTGTACTTCTACTTGAGAAAAGGATGTGTGTACTTTTGTCGTCTCAGGTCGGAGGTCAGGGGTCAGACTCTGATTGGCCAGCGTCATGCAGTCCTCCAGAGTCCTGATGAAGGTCGTACAGGTCGCACTGAGCAGGGACGCCTGGAGGAGAGAGGGTTAATCACATGGAGACATCCTGTTAGAGCCAGTATTTAGCTTTTAGTGGCTTGATAGATAAACAAGGAAGGAAGCCACGACACATCCCATTGGACCAGGGAGATGCTGCCTTATTTTCACCACTGTATTTAATTTGGTCTTAATATACATTATTTAATTTCATATTCTATTTACATGTATATAGACTTCTTCCACTATTTTTTATTTGTATTTTTGTATTTCATCATATATGTTGCGTTGTTGGAGGAAGAGTTACCTCAGAAGTGGGCGGGTCCTCCGTGTCGGCGCTGTGCTGTGATTGGATGGTTTGGACCTGCTGGACGAGGAGGTCGCAGTACAGACGAAGTTCAGACATCTTCGTCTTCAGACAGTCTGGACCTGCACACACACGCACGCATGCACACACACACACACCACACACACACACACACACACACACACACACACACACACACACACACACACACACACACACACACACACACACACACACACACACACACACACACACACACACACACACACACACAGAGACAGACAGACAGACAGACAGACAGACAGACAGACAGACAGACAGACAGACAGACAGACATGTTCAATCCATTTCTGACTTTTTCCGGATCAAAAATGTCAGTTTCAAGCAGAAAGTGGCCTTTCTTCTCTCTCTGGGGGCTGATTGTAATGAATTTCAGTGTCTATTTGGACGTTTCAGAGGACCAGAGGACCATCTATGTACCTTTGTGTTTGTCCAGAGTCCCCGCCTTAGAGGACCCTAGAGCCAGGAGCCAGCATTGCCGCTCCGCTGCGTTCACCGCCCGCACGTAGAAGTGCTGCTCGCCGGGGACCAGGAGGTCCAGACGGGTGGCGTCTGACAGGTGGACTGGAATATAATCAATAAATCACTCAAAACCCACCTGTTCAACACTGCATTCAACCTCTGACCCCCCCCCCCCCCCCCCCCCCCCCCCCCCCCCTCTTTTCTGTGTTTGTTTGTCTCTTGTTGATGTATTTTTCTTAATAGATTGGATGGACATCTCAATGGATATTTACAATGTGTTTGTTTGATTTCATTTGGTTATTCCACACATGGCAGTTATTTTAAAACAACACCAAAATTACCAAAAAACATGGCAATATTAAATAAAAAATATTGCCTGTAAATATAGATATACCAGTAAGAACCAAATAGAATAGAAGTGTAATAGTAAACACTAAAGGGAACAGAGGAAGAAGACAGACAGGAAGTAAACACTGAAGGGAACAGCAGAAGAAGACAGACAGGAAGTAAACACTAAAGGGAACAGCAGAAGAAGACAGACAGGAAGTAAACACTAAAGGGAACAGCAGAAGAAGACAGACAGGAAGTAAACACTAAAGGGAACAGAGGAAGAAGACAGACAGGAAGTAAACACTAAAGGGAACAGCAGAAGAAGACAGACAGGAAGTAAACACTAAAGGGAACAGAGGAAGAAGACAGACAGGAAGTAAACACTAAAGGGAACAGCAGAAGAAGACAGACAGGAAGTAACACTAAAGGGAACAGCAGAAGAAGACAGACAGGAAGTAAACACTAAAGGGAACAGAGGAAGAAGACAGACAGGAAGTAAACACTAAAGGTAACAGCAGAAGAAGACAGACAGGAAGTAAACACTAAAGGGAACAGAGGAAGAAGACAGACAGGAAGGTAAACACTAAAGGGAACAGCAGAAGAAGACAGACAGGAAGTAAACACTAAAGGGAACAGAGGAAGAAGACAGACAGGAAGTAAACACTAAAGGGAACAGCAGAAGAAGACAGACAGGAAGTAAACACTAAAGGGAACAGCAGAAGAAGATAGACAGGAAGTAAACACTAAAGGGAACAGCAGAAGAAGACAGACAGGAAGTAAACACTAAAGGGAACAGCAGAAGAAGACAGACAGGAAGTAAACACTAAAGGGAACAGAGGAAGAAGACAGACAGGAAGTAAACACTAAAGGGAACAGAGGAAGAAGACAGACAGGAAGTAAACACTAAAGGGAACAGCAGAAGAAGACAGACAGGAAGTAAACACTAAAGGGAACAGCAGAAGAAGACAGACAGGAAGTAAACACTAAAGGGAACAGAGGAAGAAGACAGACAGGAAGTAAACACTAAAGGGAACAGCAGAAGAAGATAGACAGGAAGTAAACACTAAAGGGAACAGAGGAAGAAGATAGACAGGAAGTAAACACCAAATCTCCCAAGTTGCTGAGAGTTCAGATTCATTTAGAGGAAGCACGGCGGCCTCACCTTTAATCTCACACACGGACATCTTGATGGATCCTTTGCTTCCTTTTCCAACGTCGTCCTCGCTGTCGTAGTACGAGATGAATCCATTCTGAAGCACGAACCATCGAGGCTGCCATCCTGAGGAAACACACTCCGTTGTTATGGACATTATGGTATTAGAGCTTCATAAAGTGTCATCCTAATGAAATGTAACTTTTAACTAAGTAGCATGCTTTCAAGTGTTTTAAATCCTTAAGTCTGAGAAGAACATGTGGTCTGTGTTCACGAGGGTAAGATGAAGGGTTTTCTGACACTACAGGAAAGGAAGACAGAGGGTGTTTCTCAATGCGAGTACGCTTGCTTGGTAGCACATGTCTTCTGAGCGTCTTGCTTCAGAAGCGAGGCAAGAATACTTCCTGGCATTCGGAAAACAAAGAGTGGAACAGGCTAGCAAGTGTGCAGGTGTGCGTCATATGAGAGGCCCCGCCTCTTACATCTTCCGCCACAGATTTGGGGAAATTGGTCCGTGCGCAAAGCATTGTGGGGATTTTAAGACCGCGGAGTCTACTCATGTGCAGCCTCGAAATGTCTCGTTACGAAGTACGCCGGGCTCGGTAGGTTTCCAAGTATGCTGGACATTGGAACAGTACTTCGGCGGCACTCGATGACGTAGCATGCTTGAAATAGTGGCTCTGGAGCAGCTTTACTCGAGGTTGAGAAACGGCCATTGTCTGCAACACCCAACTGTTCTTTGTAGGGTGTGAGTTTGGCTTATTGTGATCCACCTGGACCACATGTTGTTTGAAATGTAAATGATCTTTGATGTCTCCCTATAAAAAGAGTCCGTCACTCAGAAGGAGTCGTCATGCTTGCAAGCATTAAAAGAAAATATGTTAAAAGACTTTATATCGATATTGTGTTTCTTTCTCTAGACAGCAGCTGATTTGAAGTTGCTACGACACAGTATATGAAGTGTGACATGTTTCTTGTAGAGTATCGTTTTTACAGAGTTCAAAGACTGGCAGGAGACACATTGCATTGATGCACCAGATACTTGAGAGAGTGCATTAATGCTGGATGTCTTAGAGAGCTGATGTTCAGGTGTATTTAATAATAAATAATAATTAATTACATTCATTTTAGTGCTTTTACAAGTGTTCAAAGCGCTATACGTACATACATATATCAGACATGTAATACATCAACACTGTGGACAACACCCACTCATTCTGCCTCTTTTCACCCTCTGTCTGAAACCAGAGCCCAGGCTGCTCTGATTGGTTAGCTGGTCGGCTCTGTTGTGATTGGTCAACCAGCTTAGATAGACAGACAGACAGACAGAATCACACACACACAGACAGACAGAATCACACAGACAGACAGAATCACACACACACAGACAGACAGACAGACACACAAACACAGACACACACACACACAGACAGACAGACAGACGACAGACAGACAGACAGACAGACAGAATCACACACACACAGACAGACAGACAGACACACAAACACACACACACACAGACAGACAGACGACAGACAGACACACACACACACACACACACACACAGACAGACAGACAGAATCACACACACAACTAGACAGACAGACAGACAGACACACAGACACAGACACACACGGACAGACAGACACACACACACACACACTCTCACCTGTCATGTAGTTGGTCCATTTGTAGAGCACCCCCTCCATGTTAGCCTGTTAGCCTGTTAGCTTCTCTCTCTACAGAATAATGAACACTCTGTGCTTCCTGACAGATGACTGTCGGGAGGATGACGTCATTCTGAGGTGTTGCTGTTGTGCTAAAAGTGTTGATAATAATCCGACGGAAGCTAAAGCTAACGAGTGAGCTGTCAGCTGATGGGGGAAAAAATGTCAACAATGAAGAATCGCCCCGACGGAAGCCTGAAAGGGACAATTCACACGGAGAGCAAAAATATTCAATGTTTAATTTAATATCTAATTATTGAAGTACTTTTGACTACTTTATGGAATATTTAGCAGTAAAAAAATATACATATTATTTAATATATGTAACGTAATAATTGTAATCAGAAACTCTCTTAAAATAATAACTTAATATCTCCAAAAGTATTGTCAAAATATGAATAAATGTCAGTTTTCAACGCTGAATGTTACACTACAAAACATATATAATTTAAAAGAAAACACATTAATAGTAATGAAGTTCAAATACTCAAATAGTTTAATTATATAACCATATTTAATGACTTAATTCACCTGTTTGCCTCCCACATGAGATGTCCCGCCCCTTAGCCTATCACGTACAATGTGTTGGAGCGCTGGCCAGTAGGAGCGCTTTATAGAAATGAAATGTTAAATTAATATATTGAATTGAAAATCTAATTATTTAAGCACTTTGTCTACTTTATGGAATATTTAACAGTGTAATACTAATATATATTATTTTAACATATTTTAATTTAATAATTTAAAATAATAACTTAGTTTCTCAAAAAATACTGTAAAAATATTGAATAAATAACAGATTTTAATACTGAATGTTACACTACAAAGATATATAGTCTTACATTTTGTTCATGAAGTTAATAATAGCACAGCTTTATTGGATCATCTCTGTTGTGATTGGTCAACCCCTTAGAGATGTCCCGCCCCTTAGCCAATCACGTACAATGTGTCAGAGCACTAGCCAATAGGAGCACTTTTGTAAAATTGTAACAATGTATGTGAAACTTTGAGTGTGTAAAACAGGAGGGAGCAAACACACACACACACACACACACACACACACACACACACACACACACACACACACACACACACACACACACACACACACACACACACACACACACAATAATAACCAGATGGATTCATAATAATTCTTAATCTCTCTTTATTGCATTAGAACATACATTTCTTATATATCTATATATATATTTTATAAATGTGAATTTGTACACTACAATCTTTTATTGTAACATGTTAGAAAATACTCGTAACGCTCCAAAAACATAGCACTGAAAACATTTACCAAACCATGACTTTATTACATTTCCTCGTTTTGTTTTTGGCCACGAGTCGTTCGGGAGGACCGTGGTGCATTGTGGGTAATCTGGGGAGGGGGGTCTATCACAACAGGTGCACAGAGGGAAGGGGGGGGGGGCAAAGCGTGGACAGAAAGGAGGGTTTTAAAACTGCTGCTTTCAATTTTAGAGACACATTTAGTCCTGTCGGGCTTCTTTTGTTTAATTATCAAATATTACATTTATCCAACAAATATTCAACATTTTAGTCAAAATCAAAAAAGCCGTAAAAGTGTAATTCTTCACAACAACGTTGAGTTAAGTGCTTTTAATTTGAAAGGGTGGCTAGAACAGCAAATCAGGCAAAAACAATTGAGTATTCAGGAGATCATATTTAAGTGTTTAAGTAAAAATATACAGAAACAATTTTGGCAATTTCTTGTTTTTGAGTTGGACTTTTTTCACAATAACTACTAACCTCACATATTCCTGCATGCTTTCACATATGCATACGGAGAAATAATCCCTTCTTTTACACAGGATTAGAAGTGAAGTTACATTTGGCTTTAAGGGATGTTTTGTATGTCTATGATACGGTGGCCGACCGCTGCAAACACACTACAACAATCCAAGTAAGAGAAACGTGCTGCAGCTTCAGAAACGATGCAGATATAAAACCAGGGGAAACTAAAAAGTGACTCCGTTGTGTTTTGAGCTTCTTCAGCGTTTTGTATTTGCAGCGTTTGGTTTCTGCAGCTTTCAGTAAACGCTGCGCATGTCTCCTCAAGTTGCTGAATGTTCTCTAAATGCTGCATGTGTTGCTGGAGATGTTTCTTCATGTGGAACATTTGGGTTTTTATATCTGCATCCTTTCTGAAGCTGCTTCTCCTGATGGAAGAGGTTTGGATCGTTGTAGCACGTTAGCACATGTTAGCCTCCGTACTTTGTTACATCTAAAACAGCTGAGACGTTGAAACTCCATCACATGTTTGAAGCTACATCTGAGTAGATATATAAAACATGTTTCACTGAAGCAGCTCAACCCAGATGTTCAGTGGAGGAACAGCAGCTTGTTTAGCAGAAGCAGCAGTGAGGATCTATCAGAGGGGAGTCGGGGTACAGCATGAACACCTAACACACACACACACATAGCGAGGCGTTAACAAAACTACAACCACTGCACAGCAGGAGGCCGGGGGGGAGGAGGCGAGGCATCAAGGAAACGATGACAATTTAAAATAAAAACAGAGGAGCCGTGCAACACTGCGAAACACCACAGAATGATTGTCCTCTTGAACACACCCCCTCCTTGTTTCCTTTTTTAACCCTCAGTGTACACACACACACAGACATACACACACACACACACACACACACACACGAAACCCTGTGACCATAAAATACATGTATATACACACACACACACACACACACACACACACACACACACACACACCAGGTAGACCCAGTAATCAGCTGTTAGCACGTTAGCATGTTAGCAGAGTTATTGATATGACAGTCAGCGCTACAGCGGCACAAATACAGAAATCAATATATTTGCAATTTTAAAAATGAGACTGCATTCCCTCCCCACGAGGTGTTTTTAGATTACATTTGGGAATGTGTAAAGAAAACAAAGACGCAGGAAAGATTACATAGCTCAGTAATTATTATTTAAATCTTTAACGAGGCTTCTATATGTTTTATTTCACCGCTAATTGGATTCATTTAGCTGCAAAAATCATTAAAGAAAACTCCACGGAACCCTGATTGGTCAACCAGCTTAGAGATGTCCCGCCCCTTAGCCTATCAGCTAGCCAATAGGAGCGCAAGTGTTCCGTAGTGATGTCACTATGTTCCGGAACGTTGACATTTTAGCCTTTGCAGACCATTTACATGCACCAACTATTCATAGGACACACTTCAGGAGAGGGAACACCACGGGAAGCAGAATAGGAACTCTTTAAAATGCTTACATGCCATTTTCATTGTTGAGTTTCTGGTGATTTTTGCATCTCTACGTGTCCAAAGAGCGCCTGAAATAAAACCTGTTTTGAGTCCAGGAAGCTCTCCACATTTTAAAAAATATTCTCAATGGCCATTTCTCCAGGTTTGACTTTGGTCCAGAATTCCTTAATTGGTTAATTGCCAATTAAGAAAAGGAAGCTGGCTCGTAGCCTCAAAATAACACTTGTTTTGGTTGTAAATTAAAATAGAAACGTAGCATATGCAATCTCCATTAGTTCTGAAGCAGATCTCGGCCCCCCTCCCCCCCCCCCCCCCTGTGAGCAGTGTGTGTGTTATGATGATCCTAAGGCAGTGTCACAGTTTATTCCACAGAAACAACAGCAGTACAGAGAAACTCCACCCAGAACCCACAGCTGAGGAGGAACACCGGCCCACTGGAGACTTGCTTTTATATTTTATATATATTTGAAGCTTCTCCAGACTGCAGGGAGTCTCCGGGCAGAAGTTAGCTTAACGTTTAGCCTTAAAAAAGGGCAGGAATGAAAGATTGTGAGGTGTTGAAATCGTACCGAGTTCTGCAGCGTCACAGGTCAGGTCCAACGCTTTTTGATTGGAGATTTTCTTTGGAGTTTTTGGTGTTTTTTGCATCCATTTGTTCCCAAAGAGCGCTTTAATAAAAACTAGTTTTCAGTCCAGAACTCGGATCAGGACTTCTTGATTTTCACACTCCACTGATAGCCTCAATGCTAAGGTGGCTAATTAGCATTATGACACGGATTCTGATTGGTCCATTGGGACATTTCAGAGGTCAACATGACAGAGGTCAATTTGGACTTTTCTTCCAGATCCTGATTTTTTCAAAGATGTTGACTTAGAGAGAGTAAAAATACGTGTTTTAAGACAAACGTTTAGTGGATTTTTTGGGGTTTTCTTCTGCCTTTTTAAAGCTTCTCGAGGCCTCCAGTAGACCCAGTTATATTTAAGGGTTTAAGTGAGGCGTGTGGCTCAGTGGAATAGTGCGTTGGTGTTGGGATCAGGGGAGCACAGGTTCAAACCCCACTGCAGTCAGCATGTCGTTGTGTCCCTGAGACACTTCACCCCAAAGTGCTCCTGTGGGGATTGTCCACAGTATTGAGTATGTAAGTCGCTTTGGATAAAAGTGACTAACAAGTGACATGTAATGTGATGTAACAGGATCATCTTCCTAACGGCCCTAATTTCCATCCTGATTAAATCTGACCTACTGGTACCATCTCACAGTGGAGTGTGAAGAGTAAAAAAACGTGTTTTACGACAAACGTTTACTACGGGTTTTTTCTTTTTTTCCTGCCTTTTTAAAGCTTCTGGAGCCCCAGTAGAGCTTCTGGAGCTTCAGTAGAGCTTCAGTAGCCCCAGTAGAGCTTCTGGAGCTTCAGCAGCCCCAGTAGAGCTTCTGTAGCCCCAGTAGAGCTTCAGCAGCCCCAGTAGAGCTTCTGGAGCTTCAGCAGCCCCAGTAGAGCTTCTGGAGCCTCAGCAGCCCCAGTAGAGCTTCTGGAGCTTCAGCAGCCCCAGTAGAGCTTCTGTAGCCCCAGTAGAGCTTCTGGAGCTTCTGGAGCCCCAGTAGAGCTTCTGTAGCCCCAGTAGAGCTTCTGGAGCTTCTGGAGCCCCAGTAGAGCTTCTGTAGCCCCAGTAGAGCTTCTGGAGCTCCAGTAGAGCTTCTGTAGCCCCAGTAGAGCTTCTGGAGCTCCAGTAGAGCTTCTGTAGCCCCAGTAGAGCTTTCTGGAGCTCCAGTAGAGCTTCTGTAGCCCCAGTAGAGCTTCTGGAGCTCCAGTAGAGCTTCTGTAGCCCCAGTAGAGCTTCTGTAGCCCCAGTAGAGCTTCTGGAGCTTCTGGAGCCCCAGTAGAGCTTCTGTAGCCCCAGTAGAGCTTCTGGAGCTTCTGGAGCCCCAGTAGAGCTTCTGTAGCCCCAGTAGAGCTTCTGGAGCTCCAGTAGAGCTTCTGTAGCCCCAGTAGAGCTTCTGGAGCTCCAGTAGAGCTTCTGTAGCCCCAGTAGAGCTTCTGGAGCTCCAGTAGAGCTTCTGTAGCCCCAGTAGAGCTTCTGTAGCCCCAGTGGAGCTTCTGTAGCCCCAGTAGAGCTTCTGTAGCCCCAGTAGAGCTTCTGGAGCCCAGTAGAGCTTCTGTACGTAGAGCTTCTGGAGCTTCAGCAGCCCCAGTAGAGCTTCAGTAGCCCCAGTAGAGCTTCTGGAGCCCCAGTAGAGCTTCTGTAGCCCCAGTAGAGCTTCTGGAGCCCCAGTAGAGCTTCTGTAGCCCCAGTAGAGCTTCTGGAGCCCCAGTAGAGCTTCTGTAGCCCCAGTAGAGCTTCTGTAGCCCCTGTAGCCCCGGTAGAGCTTCAGTAGCCCCTGTAGCCCCGGTAGAGCTTCTGTAGCCCCAGTAGAGCTTCTGGAGCTTCTGTAGCCCCAGTAGAGCTTCTGTAGCCCCAGTAGAGCTTCTGTAGCCCCAGTAGAGCTTCTGTAGCCCCTGTAGCCCCAGTAGAGCTTCAGTAGCCCCAGTAGAGCTTCTGGAGCTTCTGTAGCCCCAGTAGAGCTTCTGTAGCCCCAGTAGAGCTTCTGTAGCCCCAGTAGAGCTTCTGTAACCCCAGTAGAGCTTCTGGAGCTTCTGTAGCCCCAGTAGAGCTTCTGTAGCCCCAGTAGAGCTTCTGGAGCTTCTGTAGCCCCAGTAGAGCTTCTGGAGCTTCTGTAGCTCCAGTAGAGCTTCTGGAGCTTCTGGAGCCCCAGTAGAGCTTCAGTAGCCCCAGTAGAGCTTCTGGAGCTTCTGTAGCCCCAGTAGAGCTTCTGGAGCTTCTGGAGCCCCAGAAGAGCTTATGGAGCCCCAGTAGAGCTTCTGTAGCCCCAGTAGAGCTTCTGGAGCTTCTGTAGCCCCAGAAGAGCTTCTGGAGCCCCAGTAGAGCTTCTGTAGCCCCAGTAGAGCTTCTGGAGCTTCTGTAGCCCCAGAAGAGCTTCTGGAGCCCCAGTAGAGCTTCTGGAGCCCCAGTAGAGCTTCTGTAGCCCCAGTAGAGCTTCTGTAGCCCCAGTAGAGCTTCAGTAGCCCCAGTAGAGCTTCTGGAGCTTCTGTAGCCCCAGTAGAGCTTCTGTAGCCCCAGTAGAGCTTCTGGAGCTTCTGTAGCCCCAGTAGAGCTTCTGTAGCCCCAGTAGCCCCAGTGTCCCGCCCTCAGGTTCTGGTTCTGAGCGGAGGCCGGTTCTGGCACCTTTCTGAGCGGCTCATGGTCCCTATTTTTCTTTATGCTTTGACATATCTGTTCTTCTACACACAATGAATATTAAACAGTTACTTATCACTAAGGCGGTGCCGGACCCGGCCCGGATGTGTTTGATATTGTGGTCATTAGAACAGTAGCATCAACACAATGGTCCAATAGACAGGTCCCATTCCACACAGACGGTCCAATAACAGCTATAGTACAACATCTACACATCAACTATACATTGTGCGTTTTTTTTTTTTCTTTGTTATGTTTTCAACGGGGTTAGACTTGGTCACCATTACATCACTGCTGTAAGACTGGGAGGGGGCGGAGCCATGGAGAGACAGTGAGGGATCAATTAGTGCTGATTAGTACTGTGAATGGCAGTTAAAGAGCAATTCAGTGGTTTATATTGAATTAATTAAAGGCAGGACACTCAGTGAATGGGCTGAGGGATGCATGATGGTTATATAAGAGCAGATAAAGGGACATTTATATTAAGTATTTGTCTGGAAATGTAATTATAGCCAATAATATAAAGCCAAATTGGTTTGATTTAGTCAACAAGCGCACTATGGATTATTAGTTCATCCATTCTGCTCCTTACATCTCAGTCTGTCTTTCCCTCAGAAACTTCAGATCTTTTTAAATTGTGAAGAAAGTCAAATTAATGGTTATTTTCTTGGCATTTGAAATCAGGAGCAGGTGAAAAAAATCCTCTAGTTTTCTGAAATTAATTAAACAGGATCACCCTCATATTTTGTATTTAAGAATATATATTCATGGCATGTTTTGTGTTACACTCTGACTCTACTTATTTAAACCCGTTTTACGAGCTTTTTTATTTGAATTATCTTGGCTTTTTAAAAACAGATTATTAAAAACGAAGAATTTTACTTTTTTTTCCAGACTTTTCACTTTTTTCCAGGTATTTTACTTTTTCCTCCGAATTCTGACTTTTCTTCCAGATCCAGATTTTGTTCAAAGATTTTGACTTTTTTCTCACATTCTGAATTTTTCCTGGTTTTTAACTTTTTTTCTTAGAAATAGATTTTTTTTCTCATCATTTTGAATTTTTTTCGTTTCTTAAACTTTTTTTCTCTCAATTCATATTTCTGACTTCATTCATTGTGTTTTCTCAGTTTTTGACTTTTTCTGATAATTTTGACTTTATTTCAGATCTTGACTTCTTTCTCAGAATATTTACTTTTTTCAAGGTTTTGACTTTTTTTCATAATTTATATTTCTCACTTTTTCTCAGAATTTTTGAAAAGCACTTTGAGTTGCATAAATACAGTCAGCAGTGAGGCTGTCTGTCCATGGCTCTGACAGGGGGGGTTAGGGTGTAGGAGGTAAGGGGGTTAGGGTTTAGGAGGTAAGGGTCTAGGACAGGAGGACTTAGAGAGTTTAGGGTGGAGGACGACAGGGTCACGATACTAAAGGAGTCAGTGCTGAAGTTTACAGTGATCGACTGATTTGAGTCTTATAGGGAGGGGGGAACTGTTAGGATATAATGGTGGGGGGGTATGTTAGGATATGATGGTGGCCTCCATGACTACATCGGGGTTTTCGATGTCGGCTTTACTCTGCACCATCCGGAGCTCCAGCTGGGGGGGGCTGGGCTTCCGACCGGGACCCGCTAACTCTGGATATTACAGATATATAAACATTATAACAGTGTTAACAGGTATAAACACTCCGAACAGAAGAATCAGTATGTGATGAACTACAGAGGGTTACAGATGGTGTCATAAAAACACTCTGAACAGAAGAATCAATATGTGATGAACTACAGAGGGTTACAGATGGTGTCATAAAAACACTTTGAACAGAAGAATCAATATGTGATGAACTACAGAGGGTTACAGATGGTGTCATAAAAACACTCTGAACAGAAGAATCAATATGTGATGAACTACAGAGGGTTACAGATGGTGTCATAAAAACACTCAGATTTTTTTTTGTGTTTTTACTTTTTCTCAGATTTTGATTTTTTTTCGAGAATACTGAGAATCTGACATTTATTCAGATTGAATTTTTTTTTCAGATTTAACTTGTTTCTTAAATTCATTTACCTATTTTTCAGAATGAATATTTCTGATTTTTTTCTTAGAGTTCAGAGTTTCCTCAGGTTTCAGATTAAAAACACTACTATTTATTTTCACTGTTATCCTAGGTGACCACAGGACAGGTGAAGACAGTAGTTTATTTTCACTGTTATCCTAGGTGACCACAGGACAGGTGAAGACAGTAGTTTATTTTCACTGTTATCCTAGGTGACCACAGGACAGGTGAAGACAGTAGTTTATTGTCACTGTTGTCCTAGGTGACCACAGGACAGGTGAAGACAGTAGTTTATTTTCACTGTTATCCTAGGTGACCACAGGACAGGTGAAGACAGTAGTTTATTTTCACTGTTATCCTAGGTGACCACAGGACAGGTGAAGACAGTAGTTTATTTTCACTGTTATCCTAGGTGACCACAGGACAGGTGAAGACAGTAGTTTATTTTCACTGTTATCCTAGGTGACCACAGGACAGGTGACAGTAGTTTATTTTCACTGTTATCCTAGGTGACCACAGGACAGGTGAAGACAGTAGTTTATTTTCACTGTTATCCTAGGTGACCACAGGACAGGTGAAGACAGTAGTTTATTGTCACTGTTATCCTAGGTGACCACAGGACAGGTGAAGACAGTAGTTTATTTTCACTGTTATCCTAGGTGACCACAGGACAGGTGACAGTAGTTTATTTTCACTGTTATCCTAGGTGACCACAGGACAGGTGACAGTAGTTTATTTTCTTTACTTTTGTTGTAATACACGACATCATTTCTAAAAATGCAAACATTTTTAAATAAATTCAAGCCAAGTCAAATATCTAATTGGCTTACTATTAAGGATTTAATAAGAAGCATTATTTATCTTACCGTGAGCGTATGCAATGGTCCTCTTGATGACATGGTGCATCACTGAAAACGTCTTGTCACAGGCCATCTGAAGGACAGTACGTTAGGTTACTATATTTAGCATTGTTAGCTGTTGGGAAAATACTGAACGTCCTCTTCCAACATGAGAGTAACATGATAACAAAGGTATCCCAACTGTAGCTGTGAACATGACAGGATGTGTGATTACCTAGAAGAGCATCAGGACTGTTTGAGGCATATGATAGCTATGTGATGAACATGATGATTCAGCCTCTATGGAGATAGACATATGACAAGCATGCTCATTTCTGACGTGGAGCTAATCTGAAGTAAACATTGAATACTGCTTTCTATTCCTCCATCTTGTGACTGTGTAACTCCCTCTCTTGGATATCAGCATGTGAAGGACACTGTTCAGGAACTAGTTGATGCTCTGTATGTGATGACTACTTCCATTCTGGAGAGGATCACAGATACATGGATCCTGAGACTGAAGCTCAAGACCAGTGATTATTAACATTTTTAAGTATTCAGAAAAGTCAGAATTGAGAAAAAGTCAGAATTTTGAGAAAAAAACCAACATTTTGAGAGAGTCAGATTTTTGAGATTTTGTGAAAAAGTCAGATTTTTGAGATTTTGTGAAAAAGTCAGAATTTTGAGATTTTGTGAAAAAGTCAGAATTTTGCAAAAAAATCCAACATTTTGTGAAAAAAATCAGAATTCAGAGATTTTGAGAAAAAGTCAGAATTTTAAGAAAGTCAGAATTTTGAGAAAAAGTCAGAATTTTGAGAAAAAGTCAGAATTTTAAGAAAAAGTCAGAATTTTGAGAAAAAGTCAGAATTTTAAGAAAAAGTCAGAATTTTGAGAAAAAGTCAGAATTTTAAGAAAAAGTCAGAATTTTAAGAAAAAGTCAGAATTTTGAGAAAAAGTCAGAATTTTAAGAAAAAGTCAGAATTTTGAGATTTTCTGGAAAAATCCAACATTTTGAGAAAAAACTCAGTATTTTGTACATGACAGGATGTATGATTTACCTACAAGAACCTGTATTCCTCCATCTTGTGCCTGTGTAACTCCCTCTCTTGTATATCAGCATGTAAAGGACACTGTTCAGGAACTAGTTGATGCTCTGTATGTGATGACTACTTCCATTCTTGAGGATCATAAATACATGGATCCTGAGATTGAAGCTCAAGCCGGGGACCAGTGACATTTTTCTAACATAATTGGCATCAGATGAAAGGTGAGCTGTTACAGCTCTGATTCACCTTCAGGTCTTTGGGGTAGTGATGAGTCCACGCTAGCAGCATCGCAGCAAACAGATCTCCGGTTCCTACAAACACTGCGTCCACTTTAGGGACGTCTATCCGGACTCGCTGCGTCTTCCTGCTGCCGTCCGGACGCACTGAGCCACAAAACAACACAACACAACAAACAAACAAACAACATGTCAGAGAGGTTACTTTAGTTTGCTAGTCTGACAATTATATACCTGAACAGGACAAATGGTGCATTCAGAGACAGAAAGAGGAAGACAAAAGTCAATAAATAAAGATTAAGCTAAAAATAATAATATTTAGAAAAACAATCAAATATATAGATAAAAAAATATATATCAATTTGACAAATATTATTTAAAAAAATATTCTTAAAACAAAAGTAAAATCAGAAACTTGTAGAAGAAATATAAATATATAAAAAAGGAATATCAATAGTCAATCAATAGTTTGAAATAGAGAGATTGTGCGTGTCTGAGAGGAGGCGATGGTGCATTCAAAGACAGTAAGAGGAATATATAGAGAGATAGTGTGATGGTGCATTCAAAGACAGTAAGAGGAATATATAGAGAGATAGTGTGATGGTGCATTCAAAGACAGTAAGAGGATTATATAGAGAGATAGTGTGATGGTGCATTCAAAGACAGTAAGAGGATTAAATAGAGAGATAGTGTGATGGTGCATTCAAAGACAGTAAGAGGATTAAATAGAGAGATAGTGTGATGGTGCATTCAAAGACAGTAAGAGGATTAAATAGAGAGATAGTGTGATGGTGCATTCAAAGACAGTAAGAGGAATATATAGAGAGATAGTGTGATGGTGCATTCAAAGACAGTAAGAGGAATATATAGAGAGATAGTGTGATGGTGCATTCAAAGACAGTAAGAGGATTATATAGAGAGATAGTGTGATGGTGCATTCAAAGACAGTAAGAGGAATATATAGAGAGATAGTGTGATGGTGCATTCAAAGACAGTAAGAGGAATATATAGAGAGATAGTGTGATGGTGCATTCAAAGACAGTAAGAGGATTAAATAGAGAGATAGTGTGATGGTGCATTCAAAGACAGTAAGAGGAATATATAGAGAGATAGTGTGATGGTGCATTCAAAGACAGTAAGAGGAATATATAGAGAGATAGTGTGATGGTGCATTCAAAGACAGTAAGAGGATTAAATAGAGAGATAGTGTGATGGTGCATTCAAAGACAGTAAGAGGAATATATAGAGAGATAGTGTGATGGTGCATTCAAAGACAGTAAGAGGAATATATAGAGAGATAGTGTGATGGTGCATTCAAAGACAGTAAGAGGAATATAGAGAGATAGTGTGATGGTGCATTCAAAGACAGTAAGAGGAATATATAGAGAGATAGTGTGATGGTGCATTCAAAGACAGTAAGAGGAATAAATAGAGAGATAGTGTGATGGTGCATTCAAAGACAGTAAGAGGAATAAATAGAGAGATAGTGTGATGGTGCATTCAAAGACAGTAAGAAGAATATATAGAGAGATAGTGTGATGGTGCATTCAAAGACAGTAAGAGGATTAAATAGAGAGATAGTGTGATGGTGCATTCAAAGACAGTAAGAGGATTATATAGAGAGATAGTGTGATGGTGCATTCAAAGACAGTAAGAGGAATATATAGAGAGATAGTGTGATGGTGCATTCAAAGACAGTAAGAGGAATATATAGAGAGGTAGTGTGATGGTTCTGTACCGTGGCGCTGGCTGCCCAGAGACACCAGGAAGCGATCCCCCAGTCTGGAGGGGAGGTCGGAGGACGTGATGACCACCGTGTCGGGACCCATGGCGTGAAGCAGGTCCATCACCTGCAAGAGAAACGAGAAATAAAGAAACCCTGCCACCAAGCAGCTGATTCCCCCAGTGAACAGCAAGATTCAAGATTCAAGGGTTTTATTGTCACGTGTGCATAGCTACAGTGTAGTTATGACAATGAGAATCTGAGATCAAACTCTATAACTCCTCCCCCTTCAGTAAGGAGAACTTCCACACCACCACTTTGTGCACAATAAATACCACCATTACAAAACACTCTGCTAGAAAAGGCAATAACCCCGCCATGAAGCAGCTGATTCATGAGCAGCTGATTCTGGGAGTAAGCTAGTGAGTATTTTCATGATTGTAATTTTTTTTTCAATTTATTGAACATGTTAAAAACAAAAACAAACAATAATAATAACAAAGAGAAGCAGCATTTAAATAAAAAAAAACTTTCAAGGTATGAAAATAAAAAATAAATTCTCAAATAGTTTCTGTTCAAAAGGGGCGAGAAGAAGAAGCTTCGAAACTTTTCTGGTCCTCCTCTAGCAAAGTTCAGGTCATCAGCATCCGTGATATTTGACTCATTGTTTTAAACAAATCATTCCTTTGTACAAAAAAAAAAAAAAAAAAGATCTTTACAGGTAAACCAAAACCGTCAACAAGCATGAGTTCACAGGTCATGACATTCAGGATTTGGTAGATAAAGTGTCACAGCCTTTTGATGTGATGCAATGTTTGGAATTTGTTCGTATGGGTGGTTTTTTGAAAATGCAGTTTCCTCTTAACATGTGTATGTTTTCTCTCCGTGTTAAAAGTCCCTGGATGTTATGAGGTAATTATTGATTTGCGGCTTTGAACATAATTTGGATAGTTTTATAGTCAACCAGAGGCCGGTTCAACAGACCCTGGATATATTTGGGTTACCCGGCTTACCTAATCCAAAACAAACGCGCTCTCGCTAAGCGGTCCGACGACGCTGGTTATCAACTCGGTAACTCAAGCCAGGGTTTCTCTGTCCGGCTGAGTGCGCGTTCACATGAAAGGGGCGGGGCTAGCAACATTTGACCAATCACAAACATGGAGAAGCGTACTGACAGCGCAGCGTCATACTTCCTGAATGAAAAGTGAACTTTAATATTAGTCAAATATGAAGAAGTTAAACTTTAAACATCCATGACTTAAACACTTTATCCAGGATCAAAGCCACATAGCTGCACCTGCAAGGTGAATACAGCTGGTAACAGAGAAAGTGTTTGAATGCGTACATTAACAGGTTTATGATATCACTGCCCCGTCTAAGACACGATCTGACTTTCATTACATTTGACTCCAGTGTTTCGTCAACTTAATGTGTTGCTTAAAATAATACTTCTGCATACAGTATGTGACACTGTGAGTGTTGCACGGCCAGATACGGCTCAGCTGACTCAGATAAGGAAATATATGATACATTATGATGTGATATGAATGATAATGGGACACATCGACGTCTGCACTCACAGTGCCGCGGACTGTACTTAATGTTACTCTGATCCGGTTACTTATGTCGTGGCAGATATTTAATTAAGCTTTCTTAACGCTAATGTTATAATAGTCAGATTGCTCTGAAGATGGGAGGGGATATTCTATTAATGTTCACGTTCACACAGTCAGTTGATTTTTGCCGGCCGTCTTTCCTGCAACGGCAGTTTTTCTGTATTTCCTTTCTCCTTTAATATGACTTGATCGCTTTAAACTCCGCACACTGAGTACATCATGTATGGAAGTATGAAGGAGCAGTACAGCATCAACAAGGAAGCTTGATTCATTAGGTCTTTGGCTTTATTCAGAATTGCTATTGATATTTTGGCTTTGATATAACTTATATGTGGTTTCCAACTTAATAATAATAATAATGGGTTCCATTTATAAAGCGCTTCATATTTGATTTCAAATCCCGAAGTGCTACAAGCAGTGAGCATGAACAGTATAAATAGACATTACACAACACGGTAGAATTAATAAAAAGCAATAAAAAGTTTAAAAAATAAATAAATAAAAAAATAAATAAAAGGGTGGTAAAAAGGTCTGGGCAAAGGCTCTTTTGAACAGATGGGTTTTGAGGCCTTTTTTAAAAGCCTCCACGGTCTGTGGTGCTCTCATGTGGTCGGGGAGAGCATTCCACAGACTGGGAGCAGCCGAGCAGAAGGCCCGGTCTCCCATAGTACGGAGCTTAGTCCTGGGGGGTTTGAGCAGGTTGGAGTTGCTGGAGCGGGTGGTCCGCAAGGAGGTATGGGTGGTGAGGAGTTCCTTGAGGAAGGGAGGGGCAGTTCCATGGACACACTGGTGGGTGAGGACGGAGACCTTGAATTCGATCCTCAGTTCCACGGGTAGCCAGTGTAGTGATTTAAGGATGGGGGTGATGTGATCATATTTGCGCACCCTCATCAGGATCCTAGCAGCGCTGTTCTGGATGTACTGGAGCTTCTGGATGCTTTTGTTAGGGATCCCGATGAGGAGTGCATTGCAGTAGTCCAGCCTGGAGGAGACAAAGGCGTGGACCAGCTTTTCGGCGTCGGACAGAGTGAGTGTGGGGCGGAGTTTGGCGATGTTCCTGAGGTGATAGAAGGAGTTCTTGCACAGCTGTTTAATGTGGGCCTCAAAGGTCAGATGGGCGTCCATTTTAACACCCAGGTTGGTGACTGTTGAGGAGAGGGTAATGTCCTGGCCGGAGAAGGTGATGGTGGTGATGGTGGATGACTGAACCTGGTGTGGGGTGCCAACTATAATGGCTTCGGTCTTGGAGCTGTTGAGTTTCAGGAAGTTTTGCTTCATCCACGCCTGTATCTCCTCCAGGCAGGCAGTGAGTGTGGGTGAAGGCAGGGCTGCAGAGGAGGTAGGGTTGATCCTGAGGTACAGTTGGGTGTCATCAGCGTAACAATGGAATGATACTCCATGTCGGCTGATGATAGAGCCAAGGGGGAGCATGTAGAGTGTGAAGAGGGTGGGGCGAGAACTGATCCTTGAGGGACACCACAGGTGACGTTGTGGGTACCCGACTCTGCCTCGCCCAAGGAGACGTACTCTGTTCTCCCGGTGAGGTATGATCTGAACCAGTCAAGGGGAGAGTCAGACAGTCCGATGGTGGAGTGCAGACTAAAGGGGACCTATCATGCAAAATGCACTTTGTGATGTCTTTTATACATACATATGTGTCCCTGGTGCGTCGGGGAACTCACGCAGCGTCAGAAAATAAAACCCTCTCTCTTTTCCTCCATATCCAAATCTCTAAAAAACGGGGCTGCAACGGATTTGATACAGACTGATTCAGATTTGAACACGCGCTGACGTCAACAACGGGGGTGCTCCGCCTGTATGGGCAACCCTCCACCTATCAGGGGAATGAGAGGTTGCCGTGGCATGGTAACAGCATGGTAACAGCATGGTAACATGACGCTCGTGCCTCGGCCCCCTCCTTTGCAGGGGGGCATGGTCAGCTGCAGCTCATGCAAAAACAGGGCTGGAGAACAGCAAATAGAGCGAAATGAGGCATGGCTAAAATGCATGATCTGTTTGGTATTTTGAAAAATAAAACGTATAAATATACCTTATATAGGTATGGCCCTACAATATATTATTCAAATATAGCATGATAGGTCCACTTTAATTTATTGTCAATCATTATCATTGGTTTTGTTTGCGTTCAATGTTAATTTATTTGGGTCAAACCAGATCTTCGTCCTGCTCAATAGGAAGGTGTGAAGGGTTATATAGCGACAGGTGTTTTACCTCCACAGCGTCTTTCTCCGTGGTGATGGTTTTCCCCGTCAACAATCTGAAACACAGACGCACACATTCTGTTAGAGGACTGGGAGTTACGTTTTTAAACAGAAAGTGATGAACTATGAAAT